TTATTTTAATAAGGGCCGTCTCTGTGCTGTGGTTGGACCATCTCTGTTAGTAAGTTATGGAATACTAAATAAATAAGTAATTAGATACTTTACCGTTACTGCGCTCATAAAGAATGATAAGAATAAGAATAATGCGTCTTGAACTGGTTTCATTAATTAGTGTCTTTACATTTCACAGACTGTTAGCTTGTTGTGGTTGGCTGGTAGCCTATTTTATTAAAGAGCATATAAAAAGAAAAACTTGTGTTATGTCTTCCTTAATGCAATAGTAATTGGGGGTGCAAGTAGAGTCTCGCAGAGGCAAAACTGTGGCGTGCATGCTTACACTGTAGGTGCGCCGCAGTCTGCGTGATCTGCCTGTAGGGAGGGGCGGGCCGGCCCTGCGAGTAAAGTAACGAGTAAAGTAACGAGTTACTTTATGTAGAGAGTAACGGAGTAGTGTAATATATTACTTTTTTAAAAAGTAATATGTAATATATTACTTTTTTTTAGTAACGACCCCATCTCTGACTGTTAGTTGCTAAATGTCTGTCTTATTAGTAAAAAAAGCTGACAGTTGACAATAACAGGAAGAAAGTGTTTAAAAGAATAAATAAACAAATTAACTAAATAACTAAATAATGACCAACATAGAGTCCTCTTACAACATTAACCAAACAAACCAAACAAACCCACGCACAAACATTCATATTTACACACACGTAAACACACAGTAATTATCATAGCAGGGCAGGAATACACACCTGTCCTTGGGGAATCTATGCAACTTGCTCGTAAACACACACACACACACACACACACACACACACAAGGAGTGGTGTGTGTGTGTGTGTGTGTACACAACTAAGCCCTTGTTCGTCACAGGGCGTCCCTGAACGCCTCTCTCCTGCGTCGCTGTGGACGTTCCGGAATCCTGCCGTCCCGTGAGCCCTCCCACACCCCATAATTAGTGTCACCCCGGCAACGAGAGAAAGAATGCTCAGTATTCTTGTCGTCCTGGTAACTGCGTAAGTGTGGAGGCCGGAGGTGCCGGCTGTACTGTATAGGTTTAATGACGGAGACAATGAGACCTCAGTGTGTGTGTGTGTGTGTGTGTGTGTGTGTGAGAGAGAGAGAGTGTGTGTGAGAGAGAGAGAGTGTGCGTGAGGGGGGGTTTCTGTCTGTGCCACAGAGCCTCAATCAGGGTATGAAAGTGGACCCTTATGCCATGTTTGCATGATTACAGCTATTGCTTACAACAGCTTTAGACACATGACCTCAGGAACCATGGAGGGATTAAACTGTTAGGGGGACCCGGGGCAATCATTTGCTCCTAATGACCGCCCCATTTCCACCATGTGAGTTGTGTCTGTTTTATAATGTCGTCCCCTCTGAACACAGCAGAATACGACTCCACCTTATTTCCCTGTTGATCCAGTAAAAAGTATTTTTGTTGGAAAACTGGGGCAGGGGCTCAGGATTGCTGTGTGTGGGTTAGTTTGTTATGATTTAATAAAAAACCTTATGCAATGATGCAGTGTTGTGGTCAAATTATAAATCTCAAGCTGGGTCAATGTTTTGTTACACACAGTTTAATTCATCTTTTGGATTTTTCATTTTTGTTGTTGTAAAGATGATTTAGTTGAAGTTTTTACCTCGAGCACATATTGTAAATAAACAATCTGAAAGGTTGAAATCACTGTGATGAAACTGCTAGTTGACATCACTTGGATTACATTAGATTCAACTTTATTTTCATTCAACAAGTACAACGAAATGCAGTTTGCATCCGACCAGAGTCTAAAGAGTACAGTATCAGGTTACAGTATATTTCACATATTGATAGCAAACGTGAGGCAAGGTACAGACAATTTTATATCAATATGAAGAATATATTTACAGATAAGGTACAGGCTTTAGGCAGAAACTGGAAGGACGTGGAGCTTCACGTATCACTTTTAATTTTAGGAGCTGAAGGCCAAAATGTTAACTACTGATAAATATTCAAATCGGCCGATAATAATTAATCTAGAGCCTTTACGCTCCTAACGGACAGGGCCTAGGTAATAATGCATGATCCGGGACAGTTTGTATTTTCCTTTAAATGTGCAAATTAACAAACAAATGTGCAATTAGTCAAATTACCTAATAGGAGATGACTTGCTCTCTTTACCTATAAAGTCTAACAAGCAAAAAAGGTTTTTTTGAATGTAAATATTTAAATAAACACATATCCCTTAGGCGTACAACACATACAGAAATACATGCATTAGTATAGGCCCATAAGTCACTTTGAGGCAGTTAAACTGGGTCAAACACTGCAGAGACTCCTGCTGTATCAACACGGTCAGTGAACGTCTCAGGATAAACTAGACAGTCAGGTGCTTCAATTTGGGGATCCTGATTATCGGAAACCTCAACTGGTGTGTCTCTGGTTCTCTCTGCTGTTCGGTTTAGAGTACTGCAAGGCTTCAGGCTATAAAATCCTGTGGGCTGACAGAACAGAAACTGAACACAATGTTCTAACTGTTACTATGAACCTGCACCTTCTTGGACATGTCGAAAAAAACGACAACATCTTAAAATTAGGCCCATAATTTGTCTTAAAACAGGTAACTATTTCCTACCTTCCTCGTAATCTGTATCTTTAAACGGTTGAACCGTAAAATTACAAAGTAGATATAATTTATTTCCTGTGAGTTGTGTGTGAATGACGCATGCTAATACTGATTTCATAATGATTCCTTGTAAAATCTGCCAAGCTACTGCTCTCTGTCTTTATTTCAAATGGCGGAAGGATATGTTCTATAAGAGAACAGTCAGGACTTTCCCGTAAAGTACGTCATCCATCGTCATCGTTGTTTGTGAGCTTTATATATACAGTCTATGGTGGTGAGTCGCCTCCTTCTGGTGCCTTCACGTAACGTCGGAAATCTTACTAACAATAATACATATGTCCAATTAGATATTTGTTTTGCCTACATTTTTGGTTAACTTTAACTGGAAGTGTATATGGCAATATTGCTATAAAATAACTAAATACAACTGAGCCTCCATTTAACAACAACCAACCACTTGTTTCCTAACATTTGAAACAAAGATTGAAACATGGTAAAACATAGTTATTTTTACATTTTCTAGTCTTTTTTATGGCTGCATGATCAGACGGTCTGTGATGTCTTATTATAGTCGTGAAACAGTTTTGGCCTGCAACTTATTTTTTTATTTAAGTGTTTATTACTTGTTCCTTGTCATCTAACATCTACTTCAGATGTGCGGAAACTGAGCTTTCGTTGAGCAATTGAAGGAAGCATTAGATCAGAAACATAAACAGCAAATATAAACATATCTACAGTTACAAAAAAATACATATATCCTAACGAATGCACAATATAAAACATTCTGGATACATGAATGTTTTGTTAAACACTACAGCAACAGAAAAATAGACATATACTACAGAAGCAGAAACATTTCAACCATCTTTGATGCAAATATTGCTGCATTTTTTTTGTGATTATAGTTTTCTTAAAAGACAAATGCCTCGTAAGGTAACCTATTTGGTAATAAACCAGTTTCTGATTCTGATCCTGACACATATACATAGTATATAAATCACAGATGTGCACATACAGTATAATACACTGTAGTTTGCCATATACATTTGGTGTAAATACATGGTAAATACTTGTCTTTATTATTTTTCAATGCTAAATAGTTTCTTAAAAATACTAATAATGTTTTTTGTCAATAATTTCTGTAACATGATTTTGTTTTATAATAACTGTAGATATATTTTTATTTGCCGTTTTATTTTATTATGTTTACTTTATTCCACCTTTTAAATATGTTATGCCTGAACAGTGAACACGCTTATAATATATATAATAATTTCCCAATTTGGGATCCATAAAGTATCTTTCTATCGATCAAATGCATTTTGTAAACTATCTTTAATATTTGTATGCATGCATAAGATAAGATAGAGCTTTATTGTCTCCCTTAGGAGAAATTTGTCTTGGGCATCGAGATAATACACATAAAACATCCAGGTCAATCAGTCATAGATACAGAACAGATCACATATCACATGGCAAAGAAACAAACAAGAAACATACAGGTACAGCACTTTCCCTATTGCACATATCCCTATTGCACATACATCATCAAATTGCACTTTTCCCTATTGCATTCATACATAATCAAATATTGCACTTTCCCTACTGTATTCATACACAAATTAATATTACACTTTCCCTATTGCACCTATGCATAGTGTCCGTCAGATTGCACATATCCCTATTGTGTCCATACCTATTTACACATAATGCACTTCCTCTATTTAACCTTCTCGATTGCACAAACTACACTGTAAACATTTCACCTCCCAACAACTCCTAACAGCATAATCACGATTGTTTCTGACTGTTCAGCAGCTTGATTGACAGCGGAACAAAGGAAAACTTATACCTGTTCAATTTACAGTTTGGTAATCTATACCTTCGGCCCTCGGGCAAGAAGGTAAATTGGCAGCAACTCAAACTCTCTATACAGGATGTGTTTGGGGTTGCATGTGATTTTACGGCCTTGCATCATAATTAATTGTAAACTATCTGTGGGTTTTTACTTGCTGTAACAATGTCCATTTCTCCTCTATGGGCCGAATAAAGGAATTCTGATTCTGAACTCTCTGCTCTATAGCTGCTTAAAATCACACTGTACATTTTACATTTATATATTCAGTTTAATATTTAATATTCCATCCCTCACATACTTATGTATATATAATAAGTTACTTTATATGTTGTTATTGTTAATTTGTAACTTCAATATGTATATTTTCTACTTTCTTGTTTATTTCTAGTCTTTTTAATTTGTATTGTAAAATTCCATGTCTTTTATGCTGCTGCAACACAACACATACTGTACATTTCCCAAATTGGGATCAATAAAGTACTATCTTGTCTTATTAAGGAACTATTTTACCACCGCGGATGCACAAACACACACGTTGCCTCTTCACGTGACATCGACGTCACGGCGCTTTCTCAGTCACCCTGCCCCGCCGTCGCTCCGCTCGTCGAGGCCGGAGGATTTTGTGTTATCCGCTGTGTGTTTTTTCTCGGGTGAACATGGCCGCGGGTCCCCTCTCTGTGTCCTCCAATGCGTCCACGAACAACGATGGCATCCTCATCGGTGACAAAGTCTACTCGGAGGTGTACCTGACCATCGACAACTCTCTGATCCCGGAGGAGAGTCTCTCCCCGACGCCCTCGATGCTGGACGGCCTCGACCTGAACACCGAGACCGACCTCCGTATCCTGGGCTGTGAACTCATCCAGTCTGCTGGCATCCTGCTCAGACTACCACAGGTAAACATATTAAATAACATGATTTAACCTCTTGTTATTATCACACGCGGTGTAACACTTGTTTTATTGACTAAACACGGCCCGGCCTGACTGTTAGCTGTTCGCTTATTAACGTTAGCGTGGTGTAGTCAAAATGGCGGCGGTCCATTGTGCAAGGTTAAGATAAAATAAGAAATACTGTTTTGGTCCTATTTTTTTTTCTTTCCGTTAAAGCAACATGTTAAAACAAAGGCCTTGCACACAATCAGCAAACAAATTAAGGGTTGAAAATAAACAAATGTTAGCATCTCAAAATAGATAATAAAACCAAATTAAAATATATACAATAATTTGACTCTAAGATATAATCTGTACTGACAAATAACCACTATGATGGGCCACATTACACTAACACCATTTTAAAACTAGGCTATTAGGTAGATATAAAGTTAGGCCTCTGGTTTATTAGGCCAGGTTACACAAGACGACTCAGTTAAGAAGTCATATTTGTGTGTATTTTTCTCTCTTCAGGTGGCAATGGCAACCGGACAGGTTCTGTTTCATCGTTTTTTCTACTCCAAGTCCTTCGTCAAACACAGTTTTGAGGTAAGATTGGTTTAAATAGCTCAACATCCGGCCGGTGTTAGCTAGCTACTGTTAGCTTAGCGTAACGTTATGGAAACGTTCGTGGCAGCCATGTTGTCGAAAGCGGTTTTTGAACTGTAAGACAAAGAGGTGACGAGGGCTGAACTGTGTATCAATAATATACAATGCAAACGCTGCAGTAGTGACACTGACTGAATAATACGAGAGTAATGGGACGTTTTTACAAGTATTACAACGGTGTTGTAGATTCAAACGGTCGTTGGCTTCCTAAAAGGCTGTATTGCTATATGTACGGTAGCTGCAGTGTATGCCATTTAAAAAATAGTGGTATAATACGAATTAGAAATGTCTTAAAAATTAAATTAAATAAACATTTAAAGCAAAAAAGAGTATCTTAGAAAACTCTCTAATACCAATCCACTAGAGGCAGAAACATATAAACACAGTGTACTATATACTTTAAAAAACATTGTGCACCATAGAATACACAAACCTAAAGAACTGTTTTTAGAACTGATCCCAATGCATAAATCTTCCATTACATATAATTTGTTAGACGCTTTTATCCAGTATTCAAAGCGACTTACATACATTCAGTACTGTGGGCAATCCCCACAGGAGCAATTTGGGGTGAAGTGTCTCGCCCAGGGACACAACGACATGCTGACTGCAGTGGGACTCGAGCTTGCTATCCCCTGATTCGAAGTCCAGCACACTACCCACTGAGCCACAGCCTCCCATCATATCAGCCCGAAATATTATGGCAAAAGGGTCTCGTATTTTATGGTATTTTCCAGATAAATGAATCGAGGAAACAAATAAACGTTAAAATCCAGTAGGAGTATAGTGTTTACCGTTTGATACACTAGCCTTCACTCCAGAGAAAAATGTCAGTACAGGATCATGTATACAACTAGACTTATCTTGATTTAAGCTCACCGTGCTCTCAGATAACCGGCTACTGCTACAAAGACAATATTTACCCAGAGACAATAAAACAGTAGTTTAAGATAGGATGGAACTTAAATTATCCCCGTGGGGAAATTCAGGAGTTTAATCGGAACAAACAAGTCAAATGCTATACTGTTTGTTAAAGGCCCTTACCTACGTTTTTTCACATCTATTGGCCGTGTGAGGGCACCCCATCACTGAATGCAGGTCTTCAGTTATTGAACCCTTTCTTCCAATTTTTTTTTTGCTTCACTCATCTTCTTTCCAGATTGTTGCTATGGCTTGTATCAACTTGGCCTCCAAGATTGAGGAAGCACCCAGGCGAATACGAGACGTCATCAATGTTTTCCACCATTTGAGACAGAGCAGAGGCAAAAAGTAAGTATCGACAATGACAAATAAAAACAGTTATTGTTACAGTGAACACGTTGCATTTCTTTAATCTAATAATATGATGTTGATCTGTTTTTACTGTGAAAGTGCTCTTCTGTTATCTATGTGCTCTAAACCATTTTAAAACTTTTCAGTTTCCACTTCACTGGTAGTTACAGAAGTGTAATAACTCGACATATAACAGCTGCGATTGACAATACACTGAAACTGATACCTCGACAAATTCACATAAACAATTGGCGTGCATTTTAAACACTAGAAGACAAGGTACCGCTGCTTTATGCGCGCGGTCCTTCGTCTTCGTAGAAATCTGTTCATGTCAAAACTCTAGACGTTGGCATTAACTTGGCTTCTTTTTTCCCTTGCAACCAACTAACAGCGACCAGCTACATTTACCAAAGCCTGGGTGATGTGGAATGGTACGTAAGATGAAGCAGTCGGCATGACAACCATGATGCAAGGGGGTCTCCTTCCCCCAAGGGCCAGCCCCACCCCCTCCTGTGGGAGACAGCACTGGGATCGGGGAAGACAGGTTGGCCGAAGGTCCTTGGCCCCCGGGGCGCCTTGAGGACTCCTGTGGTTCACTCTAAAGCTTTGGGTATCAGTCCGTCAATCTGCGGACCCCTGGGTAACGTAGTCTTCTTCCCTGACTGCTCCTCACTGTGCATTTTGTTTGTGCTTCAAGAGTAAAATCCCATTCACCAACTGTTACCCATGGCTTTAATAGAAATATCACCTTGTTTGATGAAGTAAATATCTGGATACTTGTAGTCCATGTGCTCTGGTTTAGCACTGTAGCATTAAGAGTAAGACATTATATAAATAGTGGCTTTGTATTGGCATTAAAGTAAGGGTACCAGTGTGGTGCACTTGTAGTGAGTTTGTTGATTGGATGTGTCATGTTGAGTAACTGGCATCACACAGATTATTGTTACCATGCATGGTGGTTTGTAGCATGACGTTACGTTTTTGCTATTTCAGACCTCAACATATGAACTTTTTGGCTCTGATAAGTGGATCAATTACTTCCCACAAGTGTTGGAAGTGTTACATCAATGCCACTCACGTTTTAAAGTTAAGGTTTTCTGTCGTTGTGCTTGAGATCGTACATCATAAATATGACATGTAGGATTCTGATAGTTCATTTTAAGAAGGCAGACACGCAGCATGTGAGCAGACGTACGATCAGAATACATCTTACGTTTGCTTTATTTATTTCTTGATCTGTTTGTCTGCATCAGTAGAATTTGAAATGATCTGTGTTTAGCCAGCAGATGTTTTGTAGGTTAGTTTAATATCGCTTGCAGTGAAGAGGAAATGTAGTCATACAACTAAGAAAGCTGTACTTTAGATAGTTACTTCTTAACATCTGGAGATCTTGCTTTACTATTAACAAAAGTCAAGTAGGAAGTGTCTTTGATGAAACGTTAGAATAGGTAATACGTTTTCTAAATCTCATTATAATAGTTGTGTCTTTATTAGAATTCAGGTTTTGAAGATTGTGAATTGTTTTGCACGCTGCCGAGGTGGTGATGTTGTCGTTGGCGTGAGTTGATATTTCTATTGAAGCTGTGACACAGGGTGAATGAGGTCGAGGACTGTCAACAAATCCCATAATGCTTTCACTGGAACCACAGGAGTCCGCAAACCCCAGCAGACTGTCAGGCACGCATACAGTTAGACCTGTTGCTTTAAGTTGGTTGAAACGGGAAAAAAGAGAGAGAAAAGAGTACAAGAAATCAAAAGGGCACTTTCCTTTCTTTTATTTTTATTTCCAAAGGGGGAAACATTATTTTATTTTGATTCCTTTTATAAACCAGGGCTCCAAGTTCTTTGATACTTGATCAGAACTACATAAATACCAAAAACCAAGTCATCAAAGGGGAGCGGCGGATCCTGAAGGAGCTGGGCTTCTGTGTGCATGTCAAGCATCCTCACAAGGTGAGTTTTACACACTTATATTAGGGCTGTGCAATTAATCGTATTTTAATCTCGATTTTGGCTTCCAACGATTACGAAAACAACATAATCGAAATAAAACGATGGATAATCGTTTTTAATAATCGTGATATCAATTATTGACCAAAATAATCGTGATTATGATTTTTGCCATAATCGCACAGCCCACACTTACACATTTAAATTGTGCAGTTTCGCTATAGCAGCTTTCCCTGTTGATGCAACCACACAGGAAGCAGCTTTAGCAGACTTGCCTCACTTCTCAAAGCAGGCACATGTGGTGGTTTCTTACATGTGATTTATTTTTTTGATTCCAGATTATCGTCATGTACCTTCAAGTCCTGGACTGTGAGAAGAACCAGACTCTGGTCCAGACCGCCTGGTAAGTTCCTCCCTTGTTCTGCACTGACCTTCCCCCACAGCAGCAACCTGTGTCATGTCTGCAAGAAGTGCCACCAGACCTGGGCTAAAAATTAAAGTTGAACATGTAACAAATGGTTGACTCGCTTGAAGAGCACTTGATTAATGCTGGGATCCTGGGAGACTCCCTTAAGTGGAACCAACACCTGTCAGATAAGTGATTCTCACGGGCCCCTGTGTGTTTTTAAGCACACATTTGAAAAGCCTTCAACAACCATTTTGCCCAGGTCTGACTTCGACGTTACCTCACTCCATTTTAACCCGTCCACCTATTTTTTTTCTTATGAAGCAATGTGTTTAAACCTGCTGCGTGTCTCTGTCTGCCTTTACATGGCTTTGCTGTAAAGTCTGTTTTTGATTTGCGCTGCCCGCCGGGGAACTTGGTTTAACTTTGTCCTTTCTCTCTACTCTTTGATTAAAGGGTAGACCATGCTGGTAAGTCACATAAAGAACCTCTGAACTCTGCCTCCTCCAACCACATGACCTCAGGAAGCTCCCCCCATTGGCTGGCTGCCTCTCTCCTGACAGCCAATCCCAATGCCGAGATTCACTGAAGGGGGCGGGCGAACCTTTCCCAACAGCCAACATCGTCTTGTTTTCTCTTGGGTGTCCAAAAGGATTTGTATTTTTTTGGTCTTGCTAAAACAAGGTTTTAACTGTAATACCTGCTATTGCCAAGTAGCTACATATTTATCTATATTCTGACTTTTTTATAGTTTACTTGCATCTAGCAATGAAGTAAACTTCAGCAGAATATCTTTTTTTGAGTAGTTAACCTGCCTGTTTTATTTTTTTAATATTAACAGTAGTTTACTGTGCTCTGTCCCCAACTGACGTGGTGTTCAGACATGTCTGTCTTGCAGGTTTTGCCTCCAAGGACCTGTCTCACCCACGCGGGCGTGAGACTCCAGCGGCCGGGTTATCTTTAGTGATGTTGACATGGCAGTTTCTCAGTGAGCTGCCACAGTGCAGGTCAGGTGACTTAATGCAGGCAGGTTAGACAGGAAGTAATCCCTGAGTGGCAGGTTTTCCTTAAGTAGTCGAGGCAAGCATCCAGCGGAGAGATCACATTTACTTTGCCTGTGTGTATATTGACACACACAGATGCTTCACTGCTTTCTGATCAGTTGGATTTCCCCTGGTTGTGGGTCCTTTGGATAATTAAGTGGGATCAGTGTTAGGTTTTCGGGGTTCTACCATCATGTTTCTGTATCTTTGTTTTTTGGACTTCTATGTTTCCTGAGGACATAGATGCTCCCACCACCCTGTTCTGTCCTAATTCACATCCTGGCCATTTTGTCTTTCCTAATGCTCTCCCCATGGCTAATCTAATTTACCCATTGACACGTAATCTGTTCTACAGCACAGACTTCACTCAGCCTCAGTACTGGGCATGGATTGCCATTCCTAATTTATTTTAAAATCAGTCACAGAGGAGCTGCAGTGAAATACGATCAGTGGATGGATATCATTTAAGATAAAGGAAGTTTCAGTTTAACCTTATCAATGTGTAAGAGGCAATCAGACATCACACCAGTGTTGCATCATGTGACTACTTCACAGGCCACTGACTCATGTCCCCACACATGCTGTCTCACTGTTCCTCACATAGAACAATGTGAACGTGCATTCTCCATGAATGTGTTGCATCCGTTTGCCTGCATGTCCACAACCCATCCCTCCCTGTCCCTTTGCAAGGCATGTGTCATCGTCTCAGTCATCATTAGTCTAACTCTAGCTGCTCTAAAGGTCATTGTGTGGTTGTACAAAAAAAGGGTCTTGGCGGGTCTTCTGTAGATTCCTCCCCATTTGTGTCTTCATGCTTTTCCTGTGACATACAGCACTCCCATGGGGATGCCCCAGAGAGAGAAATGGACAAAGTTAAATAAAAAGTTCAGAATGCATATCGCAATTTCCGCAATCCTGATTAATTTGCTGCTGCTAGTGCATGCACTTGTCAAATCTACCGAATCGAAATCAGAAAACACAAAGAAAATGAAGGATTTGGCACTATTGACAAGACACGTAGCAGATCTGTTGACCTTAAGTAACAGCTGAACATGTGATGCGTATAGAGTACCACAGTGACGCATCCTAAAACCCGGAAGTGAGTTAGCATTTTATCACTTCTGGTTCCTTTGACAAAAAGCAACGGGATCTCTCCGTAGGATTTAGGAAAATATCTGGAAATAAGGTCTGTGGTTGAAACACATTTAAGAGACGGATCACGTTTTGTTCTACGACATTAAATACACCAGCAGTGACCCCACTGGTGATTTCTGAAGAGTTTACGTGTCTGAAAAACGATGGTTGTTACCAAGTGGCTGTATAGGACTACAGAAGTCATCGAGGCCGTTGTACGTCATTACACCGAACACGTAAACACTCCCGCTAAGTTTGTTTGTCCTGTTCTGCTTGAAAGCAAGTACCTGCCTCCTGCAGACTGTTCTAACAAACGCTTCAACTCGTACCATTTACAATCTGTAGGTTTGAATATGGATCTTAAGTTGGCGTGACGCTGAAGCAGCGACCCTGCTGTAGTTCCTTTATAGCATAACGTTAGCATTTTGCTTCTAGATTTATGATTCGAAAATGATAAAAGTAGGGTAGACATGTGGAGATTATCCGGCTGAACAAAACGTGATCCGTCTCTTAAATGTGTTTCAACCGCAGACCTTATTTCCAGCTATTTTCCAAAATCCTATGGAGAGATTGCATTGCGTTTTTGTCGAATGAACCGGAAGGAGTTTACTTCCGGGTTTTAGGACGCGTCACTGTGGCACTCTATAGAAACATGTGGGTGAGCGGTGGCTCTGTGGAGAAGATGCTATGTGTTTGTTTCTATGTGTTGTTTTTGCCTCCATAGGAACTACATGAACGACACCCTGAGGACTAATGTGTTTGTGAGATTCCAAGCCGAGACCATCGCCTGTGCCTGCATCTTCCTCGCTGCTCGAGCCCTGCAGGTACACACACACACACACACACACACACACACACACACACGTCTTCCTGAAACCTTGCCATCAATGCTTCTTTCATAATCACATCGAGTGAAGTGTTTACCTGTTAAATGTTAAACCTGTTGTTCATGTTTCTCTCAGATACCTCTGCCAACCAGACCCAGCTGGTACCTGCTGTTTGGAGCCAGTGAGGACGATGTTAAAGAAGTCTGTCTCACCACCCTCAGACTCTACACCAGGAAGAAGGTATGACATCACTATGTAATAGGGGTTTAACGGTTCACAAACATTTCGGTTCGGTACGTACCTTGGTTTTTAGGTCACGGTTCGGTACGTTTTCGGTACAGCAGAAAATATGATCACAAAACATAACATATTTTTTGGGGGGGGTTTTCATTATTGTTAAAGCTGGGGTAGGTAATTTTGGAGAAACCAGCTCGAGTGCGCTAGAATTTGAAAATACACAGCCGGAACAAATCTGCCACTTCCTTACAGAGCCCCTCCTCCAACACACACGAACGCGCACATGACCAATGAGGGCACGAGATAAGTTTGTGCACAGATGGAAGGCTGACAGGCAGGTAGGCCATCCAGTTACTTTAGCCGGGCCGGCTCAGATGATTGGGCGTGCTTTTTACAGCGCCACGGCTTCCACAGATGACATTTTTTTATGTATTATTGTCAAAACACTTAAGATATTCATTGCTATCGAGATGTTAAGAGCATTCCATGGAATATAACAAAAAGTGTATCTCGAGCCGGTTTCTCAAACTTACCTACCCCACCTTTAAACTGTGAATAATGTATTCACTCAAATAAATACAAAATAAACATTAAGGTGCAGCATTTCGATGAACTGAAATCATCTGTATTTGAACTGTACTGTACTAGTACCTAAGCAGCCAGCTTGACATTAGGACTTGCTTCTCATTGTATTTTCATATTTTTTTTAAAGAAAGATGAACTTGTCCACATTGCTTGCCGAAAGGGCAGATCTGCTGGCACTAACAATGTCTCCTGATGTGGAGAACACCCTCTCTCTAGGGACAGAGGTAGCACAGCCAGGTAGCGCTTTGCTACCATGGCAACATAAGGATATTTGGTGTTTGTAATAGCTTTGGCTCGGTCTGAACTCTCTGCGAGTGGTGGAGGCTTACATGCTAGTGGGAGTTGGGTTTGCACTTCAGTCTTTTTTCTTTTGGTACCGGTGATATTCACATTCGGGTGATGCCTTTTCAAATGAGTGTGCAAGTTTGATGTATTGCCAGCCGCGTAACCAATGTTAGTTGAACAATGCCGACAAACAGCTTTGGTTCGGTCCACCTGTCTTTGTCCGTCATCCTTGTACGTAACTGCGAAACCAAAATGTTCCCAAACCGGAGACTTCAATGATGCTGGAGGATTTTCAGCTCAACTTTATCTGCGTTCGCCATTTCGACAGTTCCTCAAATTACTGACTATATTTGAACGCATCCCTGTGACCAGCTCTCATGCCTCTCGTCCAATGAAATGACTTACTCGCTCTATGACGCGTTGAACCCAATGTGAGCAAATTACTCTGAATGCTGCCACGCAGCACCTGAGATTACTTCCAAAAAGTTGTTCACGTTCTCAATTTTATGTTTGTTATATTTGTTCGGTACACTTCGGTACACACGTGTACAGAACGGAAGGGCCCGTACCGAATATTTTTGGTACGTATACCGTTGCACCCTTACAATGTAACACTTATTTTGGCTAGTGCTCCAACACATTGTGGGTGTGATAGGTGAAGGAAGGGACAGGTCTAGCTTAATGTGGAAAGATGTCCCAATGGGGACAGTCAAATCCTGTTCTGTCTGCTAAGCTGTAATTGACACTTACACTAGACTACTTCACTGTGTGCCTCGGGGAGAACCTGTTGGCACAGACCTGTTAGCATCAGAGTGCTAACCCTGCTGTCTCAGTGTTGTCTGTGTAAACTGACGCTGTGATTTCTCCCCAGCCTAACCTGGACCAGCTGGAGAAGGAGGTGGACCGGAGGAAGGTGTATCTGGCCGAGGCTAAGCTGAAGCTTAAAGGTCTGAACCCTGACGGGACCCCCGCCCTGTCCACGATGGGCGGCTTCTCTCCCGCCTCCAAGCCCTGCTCCCCCGCAGTGAAGCTGGAGGAGAAGTCCCCGAACGCCCAGACGCTCAAAACAGTGAAGAAGGACCCCGACGGCCGGAGTCAGGCCAACAAGAGTCCACACAACGGGTGAGGAAATAACACAACATTTCAGCATTAGTCCACTTTTTGTTTCAGCCCAAGAGCTGTTCCTTAAAGCCACTTATCTAACAGTTTATTTTTCTCTTTTCTTTTTAATTACATAAGCCTTATCTTTTATTTTCCAGCTTAAGGAAAGATGTGAAGATCGGGAGGAACAGCAGGAGCGGAAGTCGATCTCGTTCAAGAACACGATCCAGATCTAGATCCCGCTCTCCACGCAGACAGTAAGATCACGTTATATGTAAAAGATCTTCGGTGTACTGGTCCTTGGTGAACGTTTGCAACATAGTGACATCACTACGCAACACTTTGAACTCTAACTGTCTTCTTCTCTCCTCCACAGCTACAACAGCAGACGCAGTCGCTCAGGTACCTACAGCTCTCGCTCACGTTCCCGCTCTCACAGTCGCAGTCCATCGCCTCGGCGACACCCGCCCTCTCCCCTCCTCCCCCACCTCAAGTCCAAGTCCGGCCACCATGGCAACAGCGACTCCTCCAAGCCTAGCGGTCGCCACAGCAACAGTGGTGGCGGCGGCGGCGGCAGCGGGGGGTCGGCTCACAAGAAGAAGCGCACGCATTCCCGCTCGAGATCCCGCTCGCCCGCCGCCAAAGTGGAGCGGGAGAGAGAAAGGGAGAGGGAGCGCGAGAGAGAGAGGGAGCGCGGCTCGTTCGACCTTTCCTCGAAGAAACACAAACACGAGCGGGGAGGAGGCGGTCACCGTGGCGACAGGAGGGAGAGGTCCCGGTCGTACGACAGGGAGAGAGAGAGGGAGCGCGGCCACAAGAGCAAACACCACAGCAGCAGCAGCAGCCACTCAGGACACAGCCGCCATCGGCGCTGACAACACACACACTCACACTCACACACACACGGGCTAGCTCTAGGACTGATGGTCACTTAAATATTTGCAGTTATACTCAAAGTGAATCAGATCCGGCGTGCTCCCTGAAGAATGTTGAATACAGTTGATTGTCTCAAATATCAGTGTGACTCCTGCAGACGTTGTGCAAGTTGTTCCAAAGGTTGTGTCTATGGACGTGAACCAATCAGGAGTTCTTTAGCATTGGTCATCAAGAACTTGCACACACTGCAGCGGTCAAAGCCAAATGCAGTTGAGAGAACATGTCTAGTGTGGTTTTATTTGAGTATATCACCAGCTTAATGCCATCATGTTGGTCGTCTGGGTTTCTCATACGCATCCTGAAAATTACCGTAAAATGTAAACTACATGATTTACAGAAAATCTTGATTTATTTTTGGCCTTAGCATTTAAGATTCAGTTTCATGTAAATGTTATCATTACATTGTAAAGTCGGAGTTATCTAAATTCAAATGAACACAGATTCTGCATGTACAAATGTCTGACTGTTCATTTGTCGTCTACACAGCCGCACACCTGTAGCTGATATTTAGCAGAAGGGTGTGTGTGCTATTGAGTGTGTGTGTGTGAGAGAGAGGAACCCACCCGGCGTTAAGTCGACTGTTTCAAGCCTTGTATTCACCGCGCAGTGACATCAGTCCCAGACCTGTCGCTGTCGTCCACTCCACATTTTAGGCTTTTCTTAATTTTCCCCATCATACACACCACTACCATCTCTAGCCTACCCTTACGTTCTTAGTTTTACATGTAAAGTTATGGACTTTGGGGTTAACGAAACTTATTTACAGTGTAAAGAAGGATCGATATCTGCTGACGAAATGTGAACGCTTTGATTTATAAAAGCGAGCTGCTCAGTGGAACCATTGAATGAACAAATGTAAAAAATAAAGCCGCTCATTCAGGAAAGATCAATATGTTTGCACATTAAGGGGCTGGTGGGTGAGTGGTTGTTTTTTTTCTTTTTTGGACAGATGTGTTACTAAAGCTGTGTTTTGTAAAGTTAAAATAAATCTCTTTTCTTTTTTTTTTACAGCAGGGGATGCAGACTTAATTCAAATTTTAGGGTTGTCAATTTGTTACACTGGTTTTAGTCTGCACGTGTTCATGTCCAATTTTTATTCAATAATAAATGAGGTATGCCACTGAATTGTACGGTCTTTATTTGTAGCGAAATGAATGGTATCACTAAACTTATTTTACTTTTAAAATCGATCACAGACTTCAGAACCAGAATACCTTTATTAGTCCCACAGAGGGGACATTTACATCGTTACGGCCCCTACACACGGCGGCGTGCGTTACCGCTTGGCGGTGGGCGTGTCTGAAGCTTGGGGATTTTTTACGAACAACGCGACCAACAACCAATCACATGAATGTCCCGCCCCGGACATACAAAGCAAAGCATTCATGCTACATCCATGCTGGCTAAATATACTGTCTATGCTAGCTAGCTGTCCATTCAAACGATGTTCACTGGATATAAACTCCCCAAAAAGGCGAAAACCTACCAGTGTCACCCACTGTCTCTGCCACCTCCCCCCATGCCTGGCTCCTCCGGTTTGTATCCCTGTATGTAAAGAGGGACTGGTCATATAGTACCGCCACGATCTTTTTCTCCTCCATTTTTTTGACATATGGGAAATAACTGCGGTCTGGCTCTCCCAACATACACGCATACCCAACATTTGATTGGCTAGCGCTTGTAATGTCAGATTTGCATACGCGGGATTTGATTGGCTGACGCCTCCGTCGAGGCGGCAAAAGTAGAACATTGCTCTACTTTTGCAGCGAGCACCGCGAGAGAAGCTACGCTTTGCTCCCACAATGCTGTTCGGCGAATCGTGACGTTTCATTCAAAGTGAATGGGCAGAAGCGTTGAAGCGGCAACGCACGCCGCCGTGTGTAGGCTCCGTTACAGCAGAAAAGAGCCAAAGACAGCTTAAAGGTAGGGTAGGTAAGAATGGAGAAACCAGCTCGAGTGCGCTAGAATTTGAAACTACGCAGCCGAAAATAATCTGCCCCTTCCTCAGACTTCCTAACAGAGCCCCTCCTCCAACACACACGAACGTGCACATGACCAATGAGGGCACGAGATAAGTTCGTGCACAGATGGAAGGCTGACAGACAGGTAGGCCATCCAGTTACTTTAGCCGGGCCGGCTCAGATGATTGGTCGTGCTTTTTACAGCGCCACGGCTTCCACAGATGATATTTTTTTATGTATTTATTGTCAAAGCATTTAAGATATTCATTGCTATCGGGATGTTGAGAGCATTCCATGGAATATAACAAAAAGTGTATCTGAAGTGAATTACCTAACCCACCTTTAATGTTACCTAAGAAGCATGCATAAAAACCAAAATAATGTTTGTGTTCAATCTCTATTGGCTCCGGAGTATTCTCACCAAATGGAGCTACATGCCTTAAAACCACTTCTTATTATCCTGGTTCATTCAGATCACATCTACCCTGATAGTAAAGCAGGGAGTTATTCAACATGTGTTTTGACAGCTAGAGGGTGCTGTTAGCTTTACTTAATACACGTTCTACTGTCTTCAAGCATACTTGCAGTACTTAGGGATGGACTCAAGGTATGAAGCAATGGTTTCCGGAAAACACCCTCTGTTGTCACACATGTAAGTGCTGCTGTGTCTTCAATTCTGAGATATTACTTATGTAATTCCCACACATTAAGGATAACACCTGCCTGATAGCCCCATGAAATACACATACACACTGACTTTGAGGTCTGATGCTCTTCAAAGTGTGCAAGAGATCCCTCTGCCCAAGCATTGGGTAACCCCTGCCTGTATGATCTGTTTAAAGCTCCAACACGTAGTAGGCTATTGTTTAAAAAATAAATAAATAGGTAGTATGTAGAAAGATATGAAAAGAAAGTCACATATAGAATGTCGCAAAAAATATGAAGATCTATCAAAGCATGTGCAGAAATAGTCATAGTATAGCAGGTCTAAAAATCCTTAGACAATTATAAAGATTTATAGAAGTATAAATAAAATGTTTCATAAAGAAATAATATTGGTAAAGTTTTTCATAAAGAAGTAATACATCAATCAAAAAATAAAATAGTTATTGTAAAGGTTTGACGGTTTCTTTCTTCTGTTAAAAAATACAGAAAGGTTGAGTCGAATATCACACACTCATACAATCTATACTTTTTGCCAACAGATCCATAAAACAGTCATCCTTCTCAGCTTGTGGGGTCTGACTGTTTTCATTCCTGCAACACACATCTCTTACTTTTAAAAGCTTGAAATGGGAAAATAATGGCAGTTTGGGAATGAAAAATATGTGTAAAACTGGTTTTCCTGAATCTCAAACGATCACAACCATCTGCAGGGTTTCTCAGAGAAAAAGCTCTTTGTATTGCAGAAATATCACCAAGATACTCATGGAGGAAGGAATGTGGAATACGTTTTGTATACTACTGCCAGTGTGTGTGTGGTCTAGCATTACTATACTTGTGGGGACCTAAATCTGTTTACAGTCACGTGTGGGGACTCGCCTCCCTTATGGGGACAAATTGGAGGTCCCCATGAGGGGAATCATTAATTTTAGGGTGAAGACTTGGTTAGGTTTAGGATTAGGGTACGGTTAAGGGTTAGGGTTAGGCATGTGTTGGTTATGGTTAAGGTTAGGATAAGTCTCCATGAAATGCATGTAAGTCAATGTAATGTCCCCTGAAGTGATGTATACATGGTATGTATGTGTGTGTGTGTGTGTGTGTTCACCCGGAAAAACAATAGCAAAGAATGGTCTAGCTGAGAAACTCTGTTCAAATCAATTTGTTTTTATTGTGAAGCTCCAGGAAACCTCTCTCCTAAATGTATTTAATCATCTCATTTTACTTCAAGTAACCAAAAACAAGTGTTGAAAGACAGAGAAATAACTTGATATTTCACTGGTAAAAATGTTTTGTATACAGCAAAAAAGGCAGTGTGAGGCATGCAAAAGATGCAACAAGCAAATATACAATCCATAACAACTGTCAATAAAACACAGTATTAATTCATAGTTAATATAAAAACTATGGAAGAGGAAAGGAAAAACACAGGAGAGACATTCATTGTTTCAGTAATCTTTTCCAGACATGATTGAAATGTTACAATAGTATCAAATAAATATTGACCGTATATCAAAAATCAGATGTCATTTAACAAAACACTAAAAAACAAACGATCCTATGATTCTTTACACAAGGCTGATATACATTCAGAAACTTCACATACAGTGTGATTGTGGAAATCATTGAAACCTACGGCATTTTCTACATTTTAAATCTCATTGTGCCTTAAAATAGCTCAATATACACTTCAGTGCAAGACAACACATAGGTAGATAGATAGATCTATAGATAGACAGATGGATAGATGGATAAATAGATATAGATGGATAGATAGATCTATAGATATATATATAGATGGACAGATAGACAGATAGACAGACAGATAGATGGATAGATAGATGGATAGATAGATAGATCTATAGATAGACAGATAGATAGATGGATAGATGGATAGATAGACAGATAGACAGATAGATAGATATATAGATAAATGGATAGATAGACAGATAGACAGATAGACAGATAGATGGATAGATAGATGGATAGATATATAGATAGATAGATATATATAGACAGACGGATAGATGGATAGATGGATAGATAGATAGATAGATAGATGGATAGATAGACAGATAGACAGATGGATAGATGGATATATGGATAGATAGATATATAGATAGATGGATAGATAGATGGATAGACAGATAGACAGACGGATAGACAGATAGATGGATAGATGGATGGATAGATAGATATATAGATAGATGGATAGATAGATAGATGGATAGATGGATAGATAGATGGACAGATAGACAGATAGATAGATAGACTATTTACACAGATTCCTACGCATGTATTTAGGAGGAAAGTATAAACACTTTTACATTTTGGCAGTTTCACTTTGTTATTTCAATATTTTGACATTCATCAGACACCAGTAAATCAACACTAAGCATCTGAAAAGTGAGCTTTATGGTACGAAGGACTTTCTGCATTTCACTTGAAGTTGGATTTAACGCTTGCTTGCGATCAATGCTAAAGTGACGTGTGTGTGTGTGTGTGTGTGTGTGTGTGTGTGTGTGTATGTGTGTGTAGTACAGTACATGTACTTTTGTTTGTCTCAGCTGGGCGGGGTGTGCCACAAGACAAATCCAAGACAGTGTTTCTAATAAGTGTTTGAAACTGCATTTGTACTCACCTGCGAGTTGTCCTGAGGCGCTAATCTGATAAATATGTTTGCTTGCTTTAGGACAGTGGATAGTGGATTAGTGTTAAACAGGGGCATTAGCTCTAATACGTTCATTATATAAAACTATAGAAGTCCCATTGACTTACACCGGGAAATAAACATATTTAAATAGATACATCTACTACCTAGAAGGAACACTTAAGTAGCACTCATTTAAATGTGGGTCCTAAAAGTTGTTAAACACTCTAAAAGCCGAATCTAGACCCCAGATTATCATGGTACTTTTAGTATCTCCATTCACTTCATTTTTGGCTTCATGAGACACAGAGCGACTCTCACAGGAATGAACAGTGCCCCGCCTCCAACGCTGTATCCAGCTGTCTTTATACATGCTGAAAGATTTAGACGTAAATAGAAAGGAATGCTGAGGCTAACGGGAAGGTAATGGTCATATAACTAGTGGTGGACAAAAAAATAACGCTAAATGAAAAGTCAGAGGGATTATCCTATTGGGACTATGACTGTCTGTTCTATGTCTTAATGTTTTTGTAAAGCACTTTTAACTGCATTGTTGAAATATGTGATATAAATAGATTTCCCTTGCCACACAAAATTAAATGTTAATGCTACAGATGTTGAGCTACTTCAGTCAGGACCAAAAGTGGTAGATTAACCAACATGTCATCCCTAGAGTCACAATACTAGACAAAGCTAAAATTATTATTAATTATTAATTAATATTTGTTAAAATGATGTTACATTTATTCACTCTTACGTTGTGCTGCATAGCCAGCTGTGTAGTGGGTCCCAGTGTTTCTCAAACTTTTTCATACCAAGGACCACTTAACCAATAAAAAAACACTCGAGGACCACCTAACTCCACAAATATCCAAAAACACATCGTTTTTTACAAATCGCCTGAAAATGGTACAAACAAGTGGCAACATGTGTGATGCAGGTGTTTATCTGGGCTATATAATGCAATCGAAAGTGAAACTTAAGCTTGCTCCATTGCGGAGATATTCCCGCGAGAGTGCGAAATGTATTTATTTATTTCAAATGTGAAATTGTACCAATATACTCACGGACCACTAGGGGGCGCTCACGGACCACCAGTGGTCCGCGGACCACACTTTGAGAAGCACTGGCACTAAGACCATGAGGGCAGGAATCAAAATGTAATCAAAGGAGAGGCGTAGTGTAAATACTATTATAAGAGCAGATGCATGTTAGCTCCGGTGTGATGAGGGAAAGCACAAACAGAGGTAACCTGACCCGGTGGGAAAGGCAGCGTTATGACTGCACATACACAGCTACACAGTAAGTGCTTATCTGCTACGCAAGTCAAGATTAAGACCACCTTTTAATATATTTAGAACATTTCATTTGACTATAATTATTGTGGATGTGGATCCAGATCGCGAATTAAATCTGACGTACAGTATAATTGATTTGCAGCCACTGACTGTGATTGCTTTCCATCTGCATCCTGGTAGTAACACAATAATGCTCAACAGTATGTACTGCTACAGGATGTCCTTTTTCAGGTGGAAAAGATGTTAAAACTGAGACTGTGTTAGTCCACTTAAATCAGAGGAAAAGAGTTAAAGCGGTAAAACTCTAACATTTGCAAAGTACTCGTTTTAAAAAAGATGGGGAAACAGATTGCTACATATCCACTTCAGTCGATTACTGTTTAAACCTGCATTGTAATTAAATCAATGTGACTGAACTAGAACAGCTTCTAAATCCACAAGGAAACCACTAATTGACTTCAATGTTTTCTTTGAAATCTGAGGTCTAAACTCCACGATGACGCAACAGTTGCTGCTCCTCGTAAACACGGAGTGAAGAGTTGCAGATGTTCCTGATTCAGAAGGCCAGAAATAACTCGGTCCATACAGTGTTGAAGTTGCGAAAGAATATAAATATGACCATATGACCATAACATGACTCTCAGGGGGCTTTGTTTGAGTAGAAGAGAAGAAAAAGAAAACGGGGTCTAAATGTTAATCTCATGTGATGAAGGAAACATTTCAGACGTTTGAATAACTCAAAAAATAGCTTTCACCTACTGACTTTAGGGTTTTGTTAGTGATGAAATACAGAAAAATACATCATAAAAACTATTTCAAAACACTGGTTTGAATATGTACATCCATATCTCACTAAAAAAGGTATATATAGTAAAGGAATAGTTCAACATTTCAGGTTTTTTTTTGGTTCAATATCACTATCACGTCTGTGCGCTAAATGTATAGCTAGCAAGCCTGTTAGCATAACTTAGCGTGAAGGCTCGAAACCGCTAGCTTGACTCTATTTAATGCTCAAGAACTTCAAATTCGACTGTAGGTTATTTGTGCGGCCATTTTTCTGTTGTCACAATTAGTCACTGCCAAGAAATAGTCCCGCTCATGGCCGCGCATAAAACCATAATAAATAGTTTAACTTTGTGAAACAGGGAGTGCGTTGGTGTTCAGGGGAGCACAGGTTCAAACCCGGTTCAAACCCCACTGCAGACACACACACACACACACACACACACGCACGCACGCTCCGTCCTGCATCAAGAGAAACTGATCGGTCACATTATTGCTTCAACTCTTTAAGAGGTCTGTGCTTCTATCGAGTGTGTGTTTTTTGTGTGCTAAATACCACTCTGGCCTCAAATACATCTCGATCATCATGCATCATTAACCCCAAAATCCACAGTGTCCACAGTTTGCTTAGTCATCGAAGCTCTTAGCAGTGTCTCGAGCGAGGACATGTCCATGTATGGTCGAGTCAGGAGAGGATAACTCGAGTCTTTAAAACATTCGATGGTACACAGATGCACCGACGAGTCCATGATGTAACAGTAAGTAATGGTAACATCCCTCATACACACCAAGTCTCTTATTGCTGGTTTATTTAGAGTACTGCATACAAATATTATTAGATTTCACCAAAGTAATGCTACTGGCAGTGCACAGATGAAGAAAGACGTTATCTTTGTTTGCAGAAGTATGTCATGTTACCAACAGCGTGCACAGACACACTCCTCCTCCTCCTCCTCTGTGTTTCTGAGGCCCTCACAGGTAGGTGGTGGCCTCTCTGTTCTCCCTCTCTCGGGCCTGAGCCACGGCCACGTTGATGCACTGCAGCCACTCCTCGGCGTGCTTCTCATCGTGAGCTTTCAGCACATACGTCTTACTGTCTGTGAAGATCTCGAAGGCGCGCGGCAGACCTCGATCACGTCGCTTCTTGGCTACGACCTGTGGAGAAAGAGATGACAAACGTCCGTGGAGAGATACCTGTCATTTAAAGATTGATGTGATTTGGCTTCATGTAGCCCTCCTTCTTTCTGACTCTACAGTGATTCATGAATGAATTGTACAGTTGATATACTGTAGTATCTAGGGGTGATATCTGCCTTCTTAAATCACATCAACTCTGATTTAGGATCATTTACACAGAGTACACGCTAACATGATCAGATGAAGAGAAATAAAAACAAAATACCCTTTATTAATCCCCAAAGGGTCATTCCGTTTTTAACTCTGTTATGATACACAGCACAAATACACAATAGGTCTGAGTACACACATGCCGTTTTGTTATGGAGATGTCATGGTTAACTTTATCGGGAGGGATTTAGATTACTGGGAACTGTCCCTGGTAAATAAATAAATACTAATAGATAAAAATTGCTCAACAAAGTTTCCTTTTCAAAAATATCATGAGTTTAAACCACATAAACCCCGAATATGCAAGAATGTGTTCATTGGAGAAGATACAAATATTTTAGGAGCTGTGTTTTGAATGATGATATAACACGTCACTCCTCACCTTGACACTTTGCACCTTGCTCAGCTCAATGGGCATGTCGTCCAGCTCATCTTTCTGCGGGGAAGACAGAACATGAGATTACATTACATTACATTGCATTTAGCTGACGCTTTTATCCAAAGCGACTTACAATAAGTGCGTTCGAGATAAGTTAACAAATATATCATGTACGTTTTCATTTTTCTTTTGCACCTGGAGCTGTACAACCTGTGAGATAACGCAGGCTTGACAAAAGAGATATTAGTAATAAAGAAAATAGTTCATACAGAAAAACTACTGTGTATTGATTAAGGAAAAATCAATGTATAGTTTTATATAATGTGTGCATCATTTGAATCTTTTAGGTGGAAGAATATCATGTAAACTGTAGGTTTCTAAAACTGTTAAATAACTAGAAACTATAGCTTTAATATAAATATATTAAAGTCAAAAAGTACAATATTTTGCCCTTAAATGTAGTGGATAAAGTAGGGAAAATAGTACCATAAAATAGAGCTGAAAACAGTCCGTAATTTGGTTGATTTTAGCAGCGTGATGTTAATTTAGCGATAAAAACAAGTGCTTTAAGAAACGTATTTTCAGCCACATATAAAAGGTCTTTGTGTATTTTAAGTGTATCAATACTTCATGTTGCCATAACGTCCTGACACTGTGTCTCAGTATTGTTTCCAGTGAGCACTAACTCAGAACAAACCATTCACAGGATGAACAATTGCACTTTATTGTTTTATTGCTTCGCCAGGGCAGGAAATGAAATCCTCCCGCTCGCAAAGCCCGTCCATGTTTCTATTTCTAAACATCTTTGTTTGTTTTGTCAGAGTTACACGGTGTAGTTGTGTGCCATGTCTCCTTTACCATCCTTTCTGATGTTGTTACAACCATTGCTGTCTGTAAGGCAACTACACACAGCCTTTCTTTGTTAACCCTTAGATGCAAAAGTGGGTCTTTTTGGACCCGCTGAGGTGGTTTTCTTGAAGTATCTTCGTAATTACATTTTGTTATCATTTCATATTCCAGCTATTCCTCAAAAAACATGTTTCGGATATCATGCCATTCACATTTTAAATAAAAAATTTAAGAAATTGTAGTTTTTGTATTTCTACCCCAAGCTTCCATAAGTGGGTCAAAAATGACCCGCATGCATTTCCTATGGGAAGCTTTGATTCTTATCACCTGTGGCTGTCCGGAATACATTCACTGTAATAATAATAATAATACATTACATTTATAAAGCGCTTTTCCTGGGGCTCAAAGCGCTTACAAGCAAGTAAAACAAAATAACAACAAAAGTAGAAAGTGCTAAGCTAGGAGGAATAAGTTGAATAAGTTGAAGGCAAGAGTGAAAAGGTGAGTTTTGAGGGATTGTTGTAGTAGATTGTACTGTAGACCACACAGACGACATCACAAGGGACACCTCTCAGGAAGATTATTTTACACAGCAAGATCTGAAACCTGTCAGTATAATAATAATAATAATAATACATTATATTTGTATAGGGCTTTTCAAGGACTCAAAATCGCTTTACAATATAAGGGAAGGTTAGGGTGGGGGGGGGTATAGGACTATCAAACTTGATCAACCGGCATGGATTGTTAGGGGGTGGGCTATGAGTAGACAAGAGGAGAAGAGATGAGTTTTGAAAAGGGACTGGAATGCTGCGAGGGTCTCAGAATAGCGGAGATCTTTGCATCAATATGTTCAAAACGTTTTTTTTCAAAATATATTTTTTTTTTCTAAAATTCTAAATAGTGAAAAATTAAATATAAAATATTTATAGTGTGAACCAAAATATAATACTAAATATTATACAAGTGATTTTTCTTAACCAAAATGACAAACATGGCATAAAAACACATATTATTCTAATACGGGTCCTTTTTGGCCCACTTATGGAAGAGTGTAGGGTCCAGCCACTTTAAGGGCATCTAAGGGTTAAGCAACTAAGCAACAAGCATTACATGATCCCGCTGCCCAATGATAAGTTTCACTAACGAATGTAAAACAAGACATATTCACTATAATGGATTAGTGGGTCTTGACACGGAATTAAATGGAAACCACAGACTGTGTATGTAAATGTAGGAAATGCCTGAAGATTAAGTTCAGCAGAGTTCCGCAAGAAAATCAATAAAAGTCTTAAAATAAAAGTGCTAAATTCTACCACAGAAAACACTGCAAAGGACATCAAAAAGTAATCCGTAGGTGTTTTACTCATATTTTATATTCTTGTTTAATTGAAAAATCACAAAGTTTGTGCGTTACTTGGTATTTATTACCTGGGAAGGAGGGGTTGTATTATTTAGTTTTGTATTGTGAAGCAAGCACTTTGTTGACTTTTTGTGTATGAAAAATGCTGTATAAATAAAGTTTGATTTGATATGATGATTCCTATTTTCCCTCTCTCTTTTACTTTATTCACACCCAAGGAAGAAATACAGTTTTCAATGGATCATACTAGGCAATGAGCTACGAGGTAAAAATAATGAGTTAAATTTGTTTTAATAATATTTGCTGCACTTGGTAAATGCCCAAGTAAAATAAATGCACTAACTTAGTAACCAGAGTGAGATACAAGACTTAGCTTTGTGTGGTTTTGGGGGAATTTTTTCAAACCTCTTAGTGTGTCAAAGCTCCTCCATCGTTCAATTTGGAGGAAACAAAAAAATGTTTTGTTTTTAATCTCACTCCCCATTTGGGAAAAGGTATTTCACAACGTACCAACCACCTCCAGAACATGCTGGCAGAGACGCACCGAGAACAAAGACACACACACACTTTCCAATTTGCGGCCACTGCAGAAACAGAGGAACTATTACCATCTGGATAGGAGCACAAAGACTATTGTTAGGGGAGGAAAAAATAAAAAGAGAGCTTACTCAATTTCAACCACTAGAGAATATCCCACTGTTTCCAGATATTCCTCTTTGAAGTCGAGCCGAGCGCTTGTTTTTGGAAGCTGATTGTATAAACATGTCTAAAAACCCACAGCCAAGCTCCTGTTATCTGTGAACATTATTGTCACGATAACAGTTTTCATCCTGTAGATTCAGAAGACTGACAATAACCAGAGTATAAACACACTGTCAAATGTAATTTGATTTGTAATATAATTCAGATTTTCCCACAAACAGAACTGACTTAAAGAGGACACATTCTGCTCATCTTCAGGTTCATATTTGTATTCTGTTCCTCTACTGTGACATGTATCCTTGCTTTCATGTTCAAAAAGCTCTTTATTTTTCTCATACTGCCTGTGTGCTGCAGCACCTCTTTTCACCCTCGAAAAAATATGTATCATATCACTGGATTATAATTAGTAATTCATTCATCAACATAATTTTACATTTGCAGCTAGTAGCCTATACATGTAGGTGAATCAAGCTTTTAATGACTTTTTATACTGCCAAGTTTCTTATCCATTAGCACACATGTCAAACTCAAGGCCCGGGGGCCAAATCCGGCCCGTGGTGGATTTAATTTCGGCCCGCAGGATAATTTTAAATTACTATTAGATCTGGCCCGCCGGTATATTGCACGCACAGCTTCACTCCATCCTGAGGGTCTCCTCAGCTCAGAGTCTGACCCCAAACATTGATGACCTTGCACCCAAGATGAGATGCCAAGTATCTGGCTTGAACGAGCATCACAGAGCAGCACACTGAGTTTAATGGATGTTTCCTTCTGCACTTTGTTTCTCACGACAACAGGGCATGTTTGTTTTTTCTTTGAGGGAAATAGTTTTGTTGAAGCTGTTGTTGGCCTGTGGAGAAATGTGATCCTAAGAAATGACTCTGGAAAAGCTGCAGATAGAGCCATAAGAAATGAATGCAACTGATTATTTAATGTTTAATGTTGTTTTTATAGGCAATCATTTCAGCTTTGTTAGTTCCAGGTTTAATATGTGCAATAAGTTCATTTCAATAAGTTTTGCAATAAACATTGAACCAGTCCGGCCCTCGAATAGTACAGATTTTAAAATTATGGCCCACTGTGTATTTGAGTTTGACACCCCTAGCACATCATTATTACATATATATGTTGTTAATAATAAGAAGCTGCAAAGTAACTACTAATGTATGTTGTCAAACAAATGAAGTGGAGTAAAAAAGTAGAATATTTTCTTCCAAATTATAGTAGAGAAGAAGTGTAACGTAGCATAATGTGAATATACTGAAGTAAAGTACAAGTGCGTCATAATTAGACTTGTGTACAGTGCATGAGTGAATTAACTTCCAAACGCTGGTCATCAGTGGCTTCAGACTTTGCGCGACCTTACAGTAAATCACCGGCCAAAAGAGGGGAAGTTGAAGGAAAAGTGCTGTAAAGTACAAGTGCTGTAAAGTACAAGTGCGTCATAATTACACTTGTGTACAGTGCTTGAGTGAATTAACTTCCAAACGCTGGTCATCAGTGGCTTCAGACTTTGCGCGACCTTACGGTAAATCACCGGCCAAAAGAGGGGAAGTTGAAGGAAAAGTGCTGTTGTAACCCCCCGAGAAATTTCCTCATCGTTACTTGGAAGTCAATTGTCCTTTTTCAATCGCACGTACTTCTCTGTGTTTGCTACTTGTGCTTAATGATATCTGCTTTGGGTTGAAGTGGGTGAGAATGACTCATATTGTTGCAGCGTCATTGCTTTTGGCCTTGGGAGTCCCCCAAGGGTCCTTACTGGGGCCAATGTTTTTTACAGTCGGTTTTACCAGATGCTCTTGAGGGACAGTTGAGCTGATAACGGGATGATATTTTCACTGTTTAATACATCATGATTAAAATGGAACAGTTAAATATTAAGGGGACAAATTCTGCTCATTTTCAGGTTCATATTTGTGTCTCTACTGGGAAATGTTTTCATGCTTTTCTGTTCAGAAAAGTGTTTATTGTTCTCATACTGCCTGTGCTGCAACACATCTTTTCACCCTCTGTCTGAAACTAGAGCCCAGTCTGCTCTGATTGGTTAGCTGGATGGCTCTGTTGTGATTGGTCAACCACTTAGAGATGTCCCACCCCTTAGCCTATCACGTACAATGTGTTGGAGCGCTAGCCAATAGAAACCCAGTGTTGTGTAGTGATGTCACAAAGGAGTCAAAATGGAGACAATTCAGGCAGGGGGTGAGTTTGTGGTAGGGAAACTCCTTCTAGAGCAGGGGTGCCCAACCAGTCGATCGCGATCGACCGGTCGATCGCGGGGAGATTCTCAGACGATCGCGAGATGTGTCTAAAAATAGAACAACAACATTCTGTTTTATCGTTAATGTCCTATAACATAATCTTCCTGTGCCAGAATAATGCACTTGAACGCATCAAAGCTTTCTGATTGGCCGGCGTGACCCCATGTGTCGGGGCGTGGCTGGTGGGCAGTGGGCACTAGTTGGCTGACGTTGTCCGTGTCAACAGGAGTGACAGTCCGCACACACACAAGACCGCAATTATGGCAGAAGCAAAAAAGCCCAAAATATATAATTTTCACTCCGAGTGGGAGGATCATTATTTTTGTATCTATTGCAATTCAAAGTCCATCTGTCTCTCATCTGCAATGCGAGCGTGGCTTTATCGGAGAAGGGTAATTTAGGAGCGGCATTTCAAAACCGTGCACAAACGCTACGAGACGGAATTCCCTCCTAATTCTGCCCTACGCTCCAAAAGGGGAGGGGCCTGAAAGGACAGCTAAATGCACAGCAGCCCATTTTCACCAGGCCCAACAACAAGAGCAAGGCTGCTACTAGAGCATCTTATCGTGCCAGTCACGTTCTTGCGAAACACATGAAGTCTTTCAAAGACGGCGAAGTTGTGAAAGAAGCATTCCTGGAGGCTGCCGACGCGCTTTTGGGGGACAGTCAAAATAACAGCAGCATTTCAACAGGTTTTTGATATAATAAAAACTCAAGTTAGATACCGTTATTAATCAGCTGTAAGCTGTTTGTTTTAACTTATTCATTATAATTATTGTACAAAATGGTATAAAAATGCAAACATTAAGATCTGTTCTGTTTAAATTGATTATAGTCTATCATCAATTCAGGTTAAGAAACTAGTGTTGCTTGCATCCTATTTTAAAGGCATTTCTTTTTATAATCTACTAAAATGCAACAAAAAAAGGGTTTGATTCTATTAATTTTGTCTTTTTTATTGCACTGTTGCAGCAGATTCCTGTGTAGCTTCAGATCTGAGTTTTCTTATTAGTAAGCCTAATTTATACTTTTGTAGCAACACTATTTTTATATAATGGCAAAGAAAGGGTTCAGAGTCTTTTCTTTTTCCCTGTGTCATATGTGGCAGCACTGTTCAATGTTTCTTGAAAACATCACCCACTGTAGTATGTGACGTGTGAATAAACTCCAACTCTGTATCAACAACACTGTTGTGTAACTTCAGTTAAATACTTGTATGTGTGTAGATTAGAAAGAGGTAAGATAAAGGATCTGCAGTATTTTATGAAGTATTAATCGTACAAAGGTCAGTTTTATACAAGTAGAAGTGTGTATTTACCTGGTAGTAGGCTGTCAGTAATGGCTACGCCTCTCTATTTGGACTGGTAGATCTCGGCAGACTGGCAACTTTAAAAGTAGCTCTCGGTTCAAAAAAGGTTGGGCACCCCTGTTCTAGAGGGAACTTTCAGATTCTAGCCTTTGCAGAGCATTTACATGCACAGAAACAAATATAACACACTACAGGAAATTAAAAAATTAAAAAACATAATATAATTTAACGATTGTTTTTACTGGCTACGTACGGATTTGCCTCTCCGGAAGAGCAGCTGGTTTCCTGCCAAGGTGAAGTAGCGGGTCTTCCAGCGCTTGATGAACTTCCAGCGGACCTGCTTCTCCTTCAGCTTCCCCTCGATCAGCGGCTGTCCCTCCTGGTTCACAACTAGAGGGAAAAAAAGTCCACAATGAGTAAAAATGGTAGTTGTGAAATAAACAACTATGTGGCATGTTTCGCAACAGACCAGTACATTTCTAGACTCGGCACATAGATTTTGATTCCCCATGAGAGTCCAGATTCGTCCCACCACACAATTCACAAGACCCCATACATGGTTAGAATATTTTGTTGCATCTGGCTTTTCTATTTTCCAGTGTATGATCGTAATTATTTTATTTTCTATTTATCCTGTATCATAGCAGCATAAATATGGGATTCATGTTATACAAATTGTCTTCTTTGGTACACAAAAGTTGATCTGGATGACCAACAACTGATCTTTTTTTGGAGTGTCTATTTGCACCTGGGTGAAAATATTGTCTTGTATTATCTCGTATCGCATTATCGTACCATATTGTTTCATCACGTATAGTTTTGTATTGTATCGAATCGCCTCGTATTGTGTCGTATCATACGTAGCCACACTGCTGATCTAATACTCACATCATTAATCCTGTCCTGAATTTCCCTTTACTCCTTATTTTTATTTAAATACAAGATGCTTGATAACCCCTCTGGCACCATGCATTTTATTTGCATGAGATTGTGGCATGCAAACCTGAGTTTATCACGTTCTAGTCAACATTAATGAGCTTAAATCAACAAAAGCGTTTTATCTTTGTGATTAGAGGAGAACACACTGGACTGGTCTGATTAGAAACTCACCCGCATCAAGTATTTGGACCGTGGTGTGTGCATGTGTGTGTTTGTATCTATAACTGCAGGAATATTGTGTTTTTAAGTGTATGTACATAGGTATCTTTTTGTTGGAAGACACAGTCCCTTCTTAAGTTGTTCTGACCAACAGGAACATTTGAATTAAAGTGATCACAGATCGGTTTTCAGTAAATGTTTGATATATATATATATGTGTGTGTGTGTGTGTGTGTGTGTGTGTGTGTGTGTGTGTGTTGTGTTGTGTGTGTGTGTGTGTGTGTGTGTGTGTGTGTGTGTGTGTGTGTGTGTGTGTGTGTGTGTGTGTGTGTGTGTGTGTGTGTGTGTGTGTGTGTGTGTTGTGTGTGTTGTGTGTGTGTGTGTGTGTGTGCCACAGTAAGACTTATCTGCAGACCAGAAAACAGATGTTTGGCAGCTTCAGGTTTTGGTGCTAGTAAACCAGGACAGAGCCCCTCTTTGTATCCCACTCGATGAGTAAAGCAATCAGGAGATGACTGCAATCTGATAAGAGTGTGTGTGTGTGTGTGTGTGTGTGTGTGTGTGTGTGTGTGTGTGTGTGTGTGTGTGTGTGTGTGTGTGTGTGTGTGTGTGTGTGTGTGTGTGTGTGTGTGTGTGTGTGTGTGTGTGTGTGTGTGTGTGTGTGTGTGTGTGTGTGTGTGTGTGTGTGTGTGTGTGTGTGTGTGTGTGCAGGAAAGATGATTCACAGAGGTGCCTGATGCAAAACAAGACTAACCTTCAAAGGTCATCTGTTCTACATCAATGTAAATCAAATAACTTTTAATTTGACAGAATGCCAAACTAAACAGCATTAAAAGGGCCTCGTAACTTTTCTTGGGCATTAAAATGTATGTCTGATATTTATCATGTTGTCGCATTGTCTCGTATTGCATTGTATTGAACCAAATTGTATCCTATCTTATCTTATCTTATCCTTTTGTATAGTTTCGTATTGTATAGTTTTGTATGGTATTGAAGTATTGTCGTATCGTGTCGTATCGAATCACATCGCCTCATATTGTCTTGTATCGTACGTAACCTACTCAAAACATACATAAAAAAAGACCTATTGAGATTACTGTTACATTTCTAAATACAAAGGGGGATTACTATGATACAATACATTTTAAAAGGCACTTTCATTGTTGTTCTAGTGCCTGAATATACCTAATGAAAAGCAGGTTTTCCTATAGATAAAATCTCCGAGCAGAGGAGAAACCTATGTCTCTATATATCTTGGTTTCTTTAGCATGTTTGCAGAAGAAGCGGATGACATGTTGGGATCTGATAAATGAAATGCTTAGAGAACATCCCCTGTATTTATGTGTATGTTGTGTCTTAATGTCCTTGTTTTTGACGTCAGCGTGTCTCACATACGGTGTTATGAACTCTAGCACCTGCCTCAGGCTGACAAATCCATCAAAGAGAGGCCGAATGATTTATGCAGCAGACAAGTTTATCTCTGCACCCGAAACACATTTTTGTTAGGTGAGGTAGACCTTAATGATTGGAGTGTGTTGACCACCAGTTGTATTAATCAGTGTCTCTGTCTAAACTGGCAGACAGTAAGTCAATGTGCAGAGGACACACACACACACACACACACACACACACACAACACACACACACACACACACACACACACACACACACACACACACACACACACACACACACACACACACACACACACACACTCTCTCTCTCTCAAAGACTGTCATTTGGAAAACAATGTGATTGTTTTAGTCAGATGAATGGCATCCCAGTCATCACCATCAGTCATATATAGAAAGCTTACAAATACAAAATCCCTTTTTCAATGAACCATTTAGTGTATACACATAGTCTGCAATGGTCCCTGTGTCCCTGCCTGAAACACATGTACATGATAGGCTAAGGGGCTTGAGATCTCTAAGCGGTGGACCAATCACCACAGAGCCGGCCAGCTAACCAATCAGAGCAGACTGGGCTCTGGTGTCAGACAGAGGGTGAAAAGAGGTGCTGCAGCACAGGCAGTATGAGAACAATAAAGAGCTTTTTGAACATTAAAGCATGGAGACATGTCCCAGTCGAGGAACAAAATACTAATATGAACCTGAAAATGCAAAATGCAAGCATAATAGGCCCCTTTAAAAGTAAAAACTAATCTGCCAAAGACTCTCGAAATGTTTTTGGGAATAATATAAGAAACTAACAGGACAGGACTAAAGTGTCAACTCATTAGCAGAAACAACAACATCAACAACAACAACAACAACAGGAAGAGGTGTGAGGAGAACAGAGAGTTTAAACCACACTTGGTAACTACCAATGTTAGGAAAACATATGGTTCTGGAAACAAGTTTCCTGAATTCGCAACATAACTCCTGGAGGGGAGAATTTCTGTCCAGCGTGTCCTCACTGATGGATGGTGAAATGATGGAGAGTCTTACAGGGGGAAAAACGACAAGTAAAGGCAAGAGGGAGGTTTAGAATGCAAATGGTGTGTTACACAAAAATGTATTATCTTTGTATTATTTATGTGGTAAGCTTAGAAATTAAATAATGGCAGTTGTAGAATAAACATTTACCCATGTATTGTAGCTAAATACAAATGTGAGTTACTTGTACTTCACTTGAGTACTTTTGTTTTATGCGACAGCTTTTACAGATTGGGATTATTAGATCATGCAAAAATATATATCAACTGATAAATAAACACTACCATATACCCATTGTGAGCTTGTTTTATGGCCTTTATTTATTTTGATGACATATTTTTCCCATCTTATTGAACCATTAGAATTAGCAAATGATAGAGCGTATGTTGAACCTGCATACCTTATTCTGGCATGTTAAAACACACACTGCAATTACAGTACAGCCCCACCTATGGGGACACGGCTACGGTCTTTTTAACCTTTTTGAATTAGGAAACAGACAAAGCTGTGACACACACACACACACACACACACACACACACACACACACACACACACACACACACACACACACACACACACACACACACACACACACACACACACACACACACACACCTTAAGACGTGATGATATTTTGATTGACTGGAGGGGATGTTTTTGCTCAGCCCTTTGGCCTGAATGTAATTTTAACTAAGAGGCAGCCAGGAGTGACACACACACACACACACACACACACACACACACACACACACACACACACACACACACACACACACACACACACACCTTAAGACGTGATGATATTTTGATTGACTGGAGGGGATGTTTTTGCTCAGCCCTTTGGCCTGAATGTAATTTTAACTAAGAGGCAGCCAGGAGTGACACACACACACACACACACACACACACACACACACACACACACACACACACACACACACACACACACACACACAAACCCCTCTACTCATTACCGCTCACTTCAAAGGCATTCCAGTAGTTAAAGTAAATCATAAAGCATTATGGGAGTTGCAGTAACCTCTTGCTTCACTTTGGCCTTTACAACACTTTAACTGTCTCTCTTTTTGATGATCCACCAATAAAAACACGAGAGCAGCTCCTTGTTTGTGTGTTTGTGGAATCCCAGCAGGCAAGTTTTACTATGTTTGAGCATTTACAGCGTGATAAAATAATGAAAATGGAAACAGCATGCAAATATGGTCAATACTGTATGTGAGTGATATGTGCTGCATCTAGGACGTCCTCCACAACACAAAGACCCTCTGAAGACACAGAAGGATGATGAAGACATGATGAAGACTCAGGCTCATGATGAAGACATGATGAAGACTCCGACTCGTGATGAAGACATGATGAAGACTCAGGCTCATGATGAAGACATGATGAAGACTCCGACTCGTGGTGAAGACATGATGAAGATTCAGGCTCATGAGGAAGACTCAGGCTAATGATGAAGACTCAGGCTAATGATGAAGACATGATGAAGACTCAGGATCAGGATGAAGACTCAGGCTAATGATGAAGACATGATGAAGACTCAGGATCATGATGAAGACTCAGGCTAATGATGAAGACATGATGAAGACTCAGACTCGTGGTGAAGACTCAGGCTAATGATGAAGACATGATGAAGACTCAGGCTAATGATGAAGACATGATGAAGACTCAGGCTAATGATGAAGACATGATGAAGACTCAGGCTCATGATGAAGACATGATGAAGCTCTCACTGCTATCCTTGTCGGTCCAAACAGTCCGGAAGCCATCGATGGGAACGTTGTAGTCAGATATCTGGTGCAAGCATGTTTCGATAAAGCTCATTAAACTACACTCAAGATATTCCGTCTGACTCCTGGCTAACGCCGTTAGCTCGTCCATTTCATCAGCCAGTGACCTTATGATGATCGGGGGGAGGCATGGCTTATATCTCCTTTTCCATAAATATGGACCCAGGTCACCTCCTTTGTCTCTTCAGTTTACCCAGCATCCTCTTTGTTCTTCTCCAGATTTCAGTGGGGATAGCTATTGCTCCTACCACCATGCTAGCTACTAGCTTGCTTTAGTGCAATCAGCTGTCCTTGGTGTAAACAAGGCTGCCATGTAGTGGACGCACATAGACTGGTCGAAACGAACAAAAGAAAATCTCTCTACAAGAACGTTTACTGAGGGTACAGCTTAATAACTTACTAATAGAGGTTATTAACAACAAAAAAGTTGAAAATAGACTAAATCTAGCGGGAGAAACTGCAACAGGCTGCATTAATGGTTGGCACATTCACATACACGACTACATGGTCACAGTGTGATGTATCAATGTTTTTCACAAGATGAAGGTAGCCCTGTTTCCTCAGAGTTATGCAGCAGAGAGTCGACCGCTGACTGAGGATCAGCTGACTGAGGATCAGCTGACTGATGATCAGCTGACTGACAGCGTTGTTTGAGGCCACTGAGTTCATGTGACTGAGACAAATACATCAGGCCTCCGGTGGTTAAGGTCACAGAGGGGTCACCTGTCTCCCTCCAGGGAATACACATCTACATACACATATATCAATATAAGACTGTTAAATTCACTGACTTACAAGTAACAGAAAGCGACTGCGACTCATATGACACGTACTCAAGTACAAGCTGTTTAATTACAGAGGAATGTGTTCATTTCCTGTTTCATTGAAAAGTCTCATCACTGCTGAGGTGAACAGTGTGTGTGTTAGCTGAACAGTGAAGCAATGTGTGTCTCAATATGTTTTTTGTTACAGGTTTTATCAGATACAGGAGGCATGTCTGGGTCTTTGTATAAATGTATTCGAAAATATAAGAGTGACTCGACTCTGCTCTGCTGGGTTTTAACTAGGGCTGTCAGCTGATTAAAATAGTTTAATCGCAAATTAATCGCACATTTTGTATCCGTTCTAAATGCACCTTAGAGGGATATTTTTCAAGTTTTGAATACTCTTATCAACATATGAGTGGAAAAATATGCTTTATGCAAATCTTTGTTTATTATCATTTGAACAATGACAAATATTCTCATGAATATTAAACACAACAACCTCTGAACATTACAAATATTCGCCTCAATTCAACCTGGAACCTCTCTCATACAATACAATAATTCAATACAAAGTGTGTTTGTGTGTGTGTGTCGGCGAAACCGCTCCTCTGTATTCATAACTGTCAAAGCATGAGACTGAAGTTCCCACTGTGGGTCAAAATAATGCGCTGTGACCCCGAGGTAACAGTCATTACTGAGTGAAGTTCAATAGTCTCCGGTGAGCGCAACTGTGGAAGTCTTTCTTAAATCCTCCTCTACTTTTGCTTTTTGGACTTCATACAAGTTGTGTATTTTCGTACAGTTGTGGCTCTGGAAGACAATTCATAAGTGCAGTCGTTGGATGCGACCCGAATTATATCACGCAGCCCCTCGTCCTCCACAATGTTAATTGGCCTGCAAGCTGTCGCCACCCATTTAGCGATCTTTGTTGAAAGTTAGCTGCTCGTAGACGTGTCCAGGCGTCTCCCCCGCACACTTTCAAGTGTGGTCTGCCGCAAGCGAGCGGCAGGAGCGGGGCTGTCGGCATCAGCAGTGTGCTTGGATTGTATAGATGGTATTTTAAACTCGATGCGCTCTGAAACTACGGGGCGGCCGAGGACAAAAAATGCACATGCGTTAATCGCGTTAAAATAATTAGTGGCGTTAATTTTTGTTTGCGTTATTAACACATTAACTTGACAGCCCTAGTTTTAACACATTTTTAGACTAGATGAGATATAGTTTATGAATCCCAAATTGGGAAACTTTTTCGCAGTGGCATGTAAAAACCGCTGTCACAAAACCCAATTGTAATGTACAAACAAAAAACATGATTGGTAATAATAATTGTGTTCTTTTGGTTTATATTTTGGCCCCACTGATCAACAGTTGGGGAAAGAAATCTAGCAATTTACAGATAACAAGAAACAGAAAAGAGCTGGTGTGTGTGTAATTTGAGAGAAGTTACATTGCACACTTATGATGTATGTTTGTAAAATCAAAGAAGCATGCTCAATAAAATAATAAAAACTAAGCTCACATACTGTAACCCAAGTTGTTTATCACTACATAAAAACCTGAGACACCGATGCAGTAATGTGAACCTTTCTCTGTCTAAAGCACATACACACATACACACACACACACACACACACACACACACACACACACGATGGGATGCACGTTTACTGCCACTTATTGTTGATTTAAAGTTCTTAGAAGCCGTATCATTTAATGTTTACCTTTGATCTCCCCACCCTGCATATTTCTTCATCCCAAAACATTTGCAACAGACTTCCCTCTTTCAAGTCCTCCTATATCACCAATAACTGCCCTGATGTGAGACTAACAGGCACAACAGAACAATGTGACCTCGGAAAAGAAGAACATATTTAGGATCACACATGTGTCCTCTGCTCAGAGATTTTATTTATAGGAAAACCTCCCTTTCATGAAGCATATTCAGGCAGTAGCCTTTACACCAACAAAGAAACACATGAGCACATACTACAGTTTAAACAAGCAGAAATAAAATCTGAGCTGATGGAAAATACTCCGGTTTAGTTTCATACACACAGTTAAACTCACACACACTATTTTATGAACATATAAATTCACCTACTGAATTAAAAACAGAACAAATGAACCAAAGAAAGTGAAAACCACAAAGCAGATTCAGGCAGTAGGCAAATAGATTCACTTAAAGTATTAGCCTAGTATTTATGTCTTCTTTGTACAGCTTACAAAGAAGAAATACAATCTGATCCTTTTACAGCAAACACTATATGCTCTTTAGGTTTTTACATACATCCACCATTTTTAGAAATGTAACAGTAATCATATTTTTGTATGTAACTGTCAGTAAATACAGATAACATTGTCCCGTTACTCCCTAAGCCTGAGTGCAAGTACCTCTACTTTACTTTAGAGTAAATGTATGTATTCCACTGCTTATTCCTTTTTAGATGTTGCCATGTTTAACACTGCTTTAAGTCTCCAGTGTGTAGAGGAAACACACAGTAATCTAAATGGGATTTAAGGATCCAGCCACTTTTCCAAGACTGACTTCATCAGGTTACCGACGGGGGTTAAGTGAGTACTGCGGCCCAAAGTAAACTAATCAGAAGTGAGTCATGATGCCCCTGATTAACTCAGTACTGGACCTTTCAAATCAGACTGGCAGCCATTAAATAAAAGCCGCTCTCCGCTCCATTTACCTCCACTGTTCTGGGAAAAGATCATTCCCCCTGAAGGCATTTTGAGTGAAAACATCCCAGGCAGCTCCGCACTGTGATGGTGACACGTTTACAAAACATGAAATCAAATCTTTTAACATCCCACTTTTCTTCCTCTATTTAGAGAAGACAGATGAAACCTCAAAGTGAGTCATTTCATGTTAATATAGGAGAAAAAGAAAGAGTGAATTTATTATTAATTTGTTTTTGTCTGCTTCAGATTTTGGGCTATGCATTTATTGATTTGATCTTATTTCATCAGCCTGTTCATCCTCATTGACCTGTCGATTTATATGTACACAAATTAAACGTTTTCTTAATAATGATTTTCATATTAATATGAAGGGCCATATTATGCACACTTTCAGGTTCATATTAGTATGTTGTGTCTCTACTCTGACATGTTTCCAGGCTTTAATGTTCAAAAAGCTCTTTATTTTTCTCATACTGCCTGTGCTGCAGCACCTCTTTTCACCCTCTGTCTGAAACCAGAGCCCAGTCTGCTCTGATTGCCTAGATGACATTTTACAACTACAGTGTAGAAGTGCTGTTGCAAGAAGAAGTCTGGCAAAATGTAACTTAAGTAAAAGTACAAAAGTATAAGCACATAAGTAGAGCACTTGAATAGATGTACTTATTCCTTTCCACCTCTGAGAATATGTACATTTTTGCCTGTGTTTGAGTGTGTGTGTGTGTGTGGTGTGTGTGTGTGTGTGTGTGTGTGTGTGTGTGTGTGTGTACCTGTGGCCTTCTCAGGGTTGTTGCACATGAAGCAGAGCCACCCCCCCTCCTCGCTGTAGCCGAACAGGTCGAAGAAGCGCACCTCGTCCAGCTGAACCTGGAGACTGTCCAGGTCCTGAGACAGAAGAGGAGGAAAAGGAATATTTATTATAGGTCCTGAAACTATATTTGAACTTTTTACTTATAATATTGACAATAGTGATTGTTCCACAGAAGACATTTCACAGTACAGATGTAAATAATAAAATGTACGGCGGCTGATTCAGTTTCAGGGTCCTTGTGTTGTTCATAAGGCCTATTTGCCAAAAAAAGTCCACTCTATCCAACTATTATTTGTTTATTTTACATCTGCACATGTTTTCCTATAAGGTGCAAGTGATTTGTACCATGCCTGAGTAGAATGCCCCATACCTCCATTCCCACGCCTCTTAGCTTTCATATTAGAAATGTTGCTCCATACTTAAGTTCACTTACTTCATCATGTATGTCACATGTGTTTATATTGTCGGTGGAGAATGATACTGGTGCATGCAGAGCATATTTTAGAGATTTCCAAAGAGACCCATGCTGCTGAGAAATCCCTTTTAAACTGTTTTATTCCATTAAAATAGCAGTCCACTTCCATGTTGGTTTTTAACACATAATGCAAACTGTACTGGACTAGAGACGACATTTTCAAGTGTTTTGACTGTTTTCTGGCCCATGTCCTTGATGTGAAAGCCTATTCATCCAAGGACTTAATTAAAACAAGAAAAGGAATATAAGGTAAATTATTCTATATTATTACATGGCTTGGTTGAATACTTGATTGTAATTGGTCAATTCAGACCTTCGATAGTTCTGCTATCAGACCGTCAGTCGAGATACTGATCACCCTGTCGGTGTTTTTTCTCCATTAATAACCGCCTTGCTGCACACGATCCCTTACATATGTTGTCATGCTATGTTTTAAACTATATTTGTGGAGAACCTCCCCCCAAAAAAAGGCTCTATTGTGTTGATAACAGGTGTGTCCAGATGAAACAAACTAAGTGTATTAGTTGTCAGGTTGATTCTGATCAAGTGCTGTCTCTATGTCTCAATTGTTCACAGCACAAACCATTATTAAAGGACAGAAACACTGAGAAAATAATACGTCACAGGAGACGATAAACCAGCCCAAAGAAATCTATTACAGCTGATCTAAATGCAGTAAGGCAAGACAAGGCAAGGCAAGGCACATTTATTTATATAGCACTTTTCAACACAAGGCAATTCAAAGTGCTTTACAAAAAATGAAAGACATTAAGAAAAGGGCATCTAAAATCAGTCATTAAAAAGAAAAGCTAATAAAATAAACATTAAAAGAAAAAATACATGGATAAAAGTTACAGTGCAGTCTAAGATATGAATAGTTCAATTAAAAGCAGCGACAAAAAGAAAAGTCTTCAGCCTGGATTTAAAAGTAGTCAGAGTTGCAGCGGACCTGCAGGTTTCTGGGAGTTTGTTCCAGATATTTGGAGTATAATAACTGAACGCTGCTTCTCCATGTTTAGTTCTGACTCTGGGGACAGAAAGCTGACCAGTCCCTGAAGACCTGAGAGATCTGGATGGTTCATAATTTAGCAGGAGGTCAGAAATGTATTTTGGGCCTAAACCATTCAGTGCTTTATAAACCAGCAGTAGTATTTTGTAATCTATTCTTTGACACACAGGAAGCCAGTGTAAAGACTTCAGAACAGGAGTGATGTGATCCACTTTCTTAGTGTTAGTGAGGACTCGAGCAGTGGCGTTCTGAATCAGCTGCAGCTTCCTAATAGATTTTTTAGTGAGACCTGTGAAGACACCATTGCAGTAGTTGAGTCTACTGAAGATAAAGGCATGGACAAGTTTTTCCAAATCCTGCTGTGACATTAGTCTTTTCATCCTAGATATATTCTTTAGGTGATAGTAGGCTGATTTAGTAACTGTTTTAATGTGACTGTTGAAACTCAGGTCAGAGTCCATGACTACACCTAGATTTCTGGCTTTATCTGTTGTTTTGAACATTGCAGACTGAAGCTCAGCGCTAACTTTTATACATTCTGCCTTGCCTCCAAAAACCATTACCTCAGTTTTATCTTTGTTTAATTGGAGAAAGTTCTGACACATCCAGTCATTGATTTGTTCAATGCACTTACTCAGTGTTTGAATTGGAGCATAGTCTCCTGGTGAAATTGTTAAGTAAATTTGTGTGTCATCTGCATAGCTATGGTAACTTATTTTGTTGTTCTTCATTATCTGAGCCAGTGGTAGCATGTAGATGTTAAAGAGAAGAGGCCCCAAGATGGAGCCTTGAGGAACCCCACATGTCATATTTGTCAACTCAGATGTGTATTTACCAATAGAAACAAAGTTGTTTCTGTCCTTTAAGTAGGATTCAAACCAATTTAGAACTGTTTCCGAAAGTCCCACCCAGTTTTCCAGTCGGTCTAGTAATATGCTGTGGTCAACAGTGTCAAATGCAGCACTGAGATCTAATAATACTAACACTGAAGTTCTGCCACTGTCTGTGTTTAAGTGGATGTCATTGAAGACCTTTACAAGAGCAGTCTCAGTGCTGTGGTTTGGACGAAAGCCTGACTGGAACACATCGAAACAGTTATTTAAATGCAAGAAATTACTCAACTGTTGAAAAACAACTTTTTCAATGATTTTACCTAGAAATGGGAGGTTTGATATGGGCCTGTAATTGTTCATTACTGAAGCATCTAGATTATTCTTTTTTAAGAGCGGTTTAATGACTGCAGTTTTCAGGGCCTGTGGAAAAATACCTGAGTGAAGAGATTTGTTTACTATATGAAGTAGATCTGAGGCCATGCAAGGCAAAACATCTTTGAAAAATCCTGTTGGAATAATATCAAGGCAGCAGGAGGAGGATTTCAGAAGTTGTATAATGTCCTCTAGGTTTTTATCATTAATCTGATGGAATTGTGTCATGGTGTTTGAATTGATGTTAGGTGGACATAGGGACAACACATTTGCTGTTCCTGATGCAGAGGCACTGACTGCTTGTCTGATTTTCTGAATTTTGTCAGTGAAAAAGGCAAAATCATTGCACGCCCTGGTGGATAGAAATTCAGAGGCTACTGACACTGGGGGGTTAGTTAGTCTGTCGACGGTAGCAAACAAGGCACGTGCGTTGTTTTTGTTTTTGGTAATGATGTCAGAGAAGAACGATTGTCGTGCGTTTTTCAATTCCAAATTATAAAGGCCAAGTCTCTCTTTATAGATTTTAAAGTGAACCTGGAGATTTGTTTTTCGCCACCTGCGTTCAGCTTTTCGACATTCTCTTTTTTCTGTTTTCACGCTCATGGCCTTTCTCCATGGAGAAATTTTCTTGCCAGACACTTCCTTTACCTTAGTTGGAGCAATGGCATCTATAACATTTTTAATTTTTGAATTAAAATGATCTACTAGCTCATTTACTGAGATGTTAGCAGGGGCAAGTGTGGAAGAGAAATTCTGAGTAAACATTTCCCTAGTATTTTCAGTTAAACATCGCTTTGTGGTTACCTCTTTTTGAACATTTTTGTGAACAGAAATAGAGCTCTCAAAGAAAACACAGGAATGGTCAGAGAGTGCAACATCAGTCACCACAACCTTAGAGATATTCAGACCCTTTGAGATAATTAAGTCCAGAGTGTGCCCCTTATTGTGCGTGGGCTCCGTCACATGCTGAGTCAGTCCATAGCTATCAAGAACACAAAACAGTTCTTTAGACCCTCTGTCCTGGGGGTTGTCAACATGGATGTTAAAATCACCAACAATGACTAGACGGTCAAAGTCAATACACACTATAGACAGCAGTTCAGTAAAGTCATCAAAAAAGCTTGCACAGTATTTGGGTGGTCTATAGATATTTAGGAACAGAGCTCGAGAGGAGCATTTCAGCCGAAGGGCCACATATTCAAAAGAATCAAAGTTTCCATACGATGTCTTCCTGCATTAACAGTAACACACACATACACATAATGATGAGTGACTCTCGACTCTTAGAGGTACTTGACATTCCAGTTATGGACTGTGCCTCAGTGTGTGTGTGTGTGTGTGTGTGTGTGTGTGTGTGTGTGTGTGTGTGTGTGTGTGTGTGTGTGTGTGTGTGTGTGTGTGTGTGTGTGATGGAAACCAATAGCTATCCCTGTAGACCCCCTGCAGATGGTATTAGTTATACTTTCCTTCAAAACACACAAATATACTTCAGTGACAGTTAAACCCAGGAGATAAAACACATTTATTTTACGACTGTTATGGCGGAAAACAGAAACATTTAAGAAGATGATTAATTGCTGCCAGTGTTTCCACCAGACCAGGGCTGAGAGGGCGTCCACCCCGAGAGCAGGGGGGGGGGGTTGACTTGAGCCATCCCTTATAGATACTGTCTTGTTACGTTAGTGAGCCGGATCATTTGGCTCGGCTCTCTTAAAGCGCCGGCTGTTTCGGCTCCCAAACGTCTCTTCATGTTACCACAGTTTACCACGGAGCCTCAGTTTCGCCGCTGCGAGGCTCCGGCGCTCGCAGTTCACGCGCGTGCTCCACTAAAAACCCCCCCGCTCATCGCGTCTAAATCGCGCACGTTCCGTGTTGTTGTCCTGCGGCAGGCACCTTCGATGTCGGGGAAACGATCTTCAATACTCCGAAAAGAATCCCACCAGACTCCTTTGCCCCACCAACAGAGGGATGTCCTTGTCCTTTTTCCTTTTCGTTATTTCAAGCAATAAAAACTCTCGATCTTCTCTCTCGAATTATTAATATTTTTGGACGCCCTCGGCTCGAGTTTATGGCGTCCCGAGCTGAATAAGGGCGTCAAATGATGGCAAGACGCCCCCCTGACGGAAACGCTGATTGCTGCCATTAGTCCTTAACTCCTTGTGATATTAAATATCCTTATTGTGTGTGTGTGTGTGCTCATATTGTATTTTATGTACAATAACTAATTGTATTGCTATGATTGCTGTGCCACGCTAATCTCTCTAGAATTACATTAAAGTTTTATATCCTGACCACCAAAACGCACAAGTCTCTGAAGTCTTTTTTCATTTTCTGATCATCTATTTAAGAGTTTTATTTCTCACCATGAGACCCGCAGAGGGAGCT